TTTTTTTTTTTTTTTTTTTTTGAGGCAGAGTCTCACAATGTAGTCTAGGACAGCTTCAAACTTGCTAGGTATCTCGGGCTGGCCTTTAGCCTCCTCCTTCCTTGGCCTCCCAAGTGCTGGGATTAGAGGCGTATGCCCTCACACCTGGCTCCACATAACTCTTACGAAGCTTGCTGTGCGGTCCTTATTCCTCAAGGTAATTGTTACTGTGAGTTTTCTCTGTGTCTCATATTTAGAAATATTTTTGCCACTTATGTATACAGCCATAAAATAGCATTATTTTGCGTGTTTTGGAACCTGCTTGAACTAGTTTTAGCACCTGCATTTCTGTTTGCAGTTTGATTTTAGTTTAATGTATTTTTGGAGAGTTCAGCCATTTCTATTCATTTTTACTGTCATATAGTATTCCACCATATAATTCATTTTACTTTGAAAGTTTAGGTTGTTTCCTAAGTTTTTGCAGTTGTAAAACAGGAGTTGGCTGTGGTGGTGCCCCCTGTAATCTCAGCAATCAGGAGGCTGAGGCAGGAAGATTGCCACAAGTTTGAGGCCAGCCTGGCTACAAAGTGAGTTCAAGGCCAGCCTGAACTGCATAGGAACACCTTGTCCTCTTTCCCCACCAAAAGAGAGGAAAGAAGAGGAAGGCAGGACAGAAGGAAGGAAGTGGATTTGCATATTTGTTTGCAAGTGTTTCTCTAGGGAGCTCACCCAGAAAATGGTGAGGTCATAGGGTGTGCCATTCATTGGCTCATCCACTCATGATGCACGTGTTTGTGCCAGCTTTCTCTGAAGTTCTTTTACTAATGTAACCCCTCTGTGCGGTGTGAAAGGCCCCACCTTGCTGTGCTCCTCACAGGTTCCCCACAGGTGGGGCTGACTTGGAGTGGCCCGTCCGTCTGGGCGCACGTCCTGTAGAGGTCTCTCTGTAGCGTGGGCTTTCTCACTGGGTGTTGGTAGACGCAGGTCAGAAGCAGACATTTTGTGTTCTCTGGTGTTTTAGCCACATACCTCTGGAGAGTTCTGTGACGTCTTGAGCAGCTGCCCATGAGGGGCAGCTCTGTGCCCGGGTGCCCGTGGGTGACACAGACCTGCGCAGGCTGTGAGGCTGAGGGGACCTTTTGCTGGCCAGGCTGTCAGGGGCGCCACGCTGGGGTCCCGCCCTAGGTGGCCCTCCCGCTCACGCACTGCTGACCTCGCCTTCTTCTCCGCAGGGTGTAGCTGAGTAAGATGGACGGTAGCTTTGAGTGTGACTGTGGTGAGCTAGAGCCACCTGATCACTGACAGAGGCCACCTGCTGCTACCAACAGCCGGGGCTTCCTGTCAAGACAGCGGCCCAGGGAGGACGGAGCCGCCCAACAACGCTGCTGGGCCGGCGGCTGACCCTGCTCGGGACCAGCCCAACACTGAATGTACCTGCGCTGTGAGGAGATGCCTCGCCGCCAGTCGTGTGCACATTTATCCGCACCTCTGTTACTCGTTCAGGCACTGAGCAAGGAGAGCTGAACGCAGAGTATGTCGTGCATTCCGTTTGAGTCTCTTGAGTGTTCCCTTTAAATGTCTGCAGTTGCTGCCCCTTTCGTGGACTATGATGACTGCAGTCTCCTTCAGTCCACGACATGAGTAGGGCTTTGTGAGCGTCCTGTCTGCGGGGACTCGGCGGGCCTGGTGGGCACAGGCGATGGATGTCGGGAAACATCGTGCCGGGCGGCGTGATCCTTTCTCGCCTTCCCTTTGAGTGCACCTTCCTTTTGGTGCCAGTTTTCACCCTTGTTTACAGAAGTTTACTAGTTGGAAAGGAAAAAGCAAGAGTGAGGGTTTCACGATGGCAGAGAAATTCGAAAGTCTCATGAACATTCATGGTTTTGATCTGGGCTCTCGATATATGGACTTAAAACCATTGGGCTGTGGAGGCAACGGCTTGGTTTTTTCTGCTGTAGACAATGACTGTGACAAAAGAGTGGCCATCAAGAAAATTGTCCTCACCGATCCCCAGAGTGTCAAGCACGCGCTCCGGGAAATCAAAATCATCCGACGGCTGGACCACGACAACATTGTGAAGGTGTTCGAGATCCTGGGCCCCAGCGGCCGCCGGCTGGCTGACGACGTGGGCGCCCTGGCGGAGCTGAGCAGTGTGTACATAGTGCAGGAGTACATGGAGACGGACCTGGCCACCGTGCTGGAGCAGGGGCCCCTGCTGGAGGAGCACGCGCGGCTGTTCATGTACCAGCTGCTGCGTGGCCTCAAGTACATCCACTCAGCCAACGTGCTGCACAGGGACCTCAAGCCGGCCAACCTCTTCATCAACACGGAGGACCTGGTGCTGAGGGTCGGGGACTTCGGGCTCGCCCGCATCATGGACCCACACTACTCCCACAAGGTAGGCGCCAGCTCCCGGGTGCAGCTGGAGGGTGGGAGCTGGTGTTCCTCGTGTCCAGGAAGGGCAGGGCTGTGTGTCAGGGCAAACTCAAGTGTGGGAGGGTATGCCCGCTGCTTGCGACTCCAGCTCGCATCACTTGCAAGCAGAACTACTGAAGATAAGAGGGTGCTGTTCCACCTGCAGGTCTCCCTTGTCCTTTTGCCAGGCTTATTCTGTGCTACAGCCAGGCCTTGTTCAAACAAACCGACTTGGCATAACTCATTGGGTGTTACGGACTCTGTGGCCCAGAAGATTCCTAGCACCTTCACCTCAGATGGCAGCTTGTTCTCCTATAAGAAAGTTTTCCAAGCAGCACGCTGGCCACTGAAGTCTGAGATGGAGCTGGGAGCCCTGCCTGCTTAGCCTTCCGTAACACACCTCAAAAACAAATCGTCTTGAGGGGTTTCCCACAGTAAGGACGTGTTTGCTGTTTAGAAAAACATAGTGTGAGTGCTGCACCGGGGTGGAGGCCCGTGGCCCCTTCACGGTAACAGTGAAGTGCCGTGGAGGGGCACGGACAGGAGCCACACTGTCTGGCAGGACCCTACTCCCACCTCTGCTGGCCGTCGCTCCAACCCTGTGACCTCCCTCAGGCCTGCACTGCGCGCCAGCCCGGTCCTGGCATTGGGCAGAGGGGGAATAAGGTGCACACGTGTTTTTGTCGCATGTTCTGTAAACACAGAGCAGTGGAGAGTTGGAAGTGGCCCCCTGGTGCCGTAGTGCCTTGCCCTGTGGCCGGAAGGAAGCACACTGACTGCTTCGTCTCGTGGGGGCACGGAGCACAAATCGCTCCTCCCTGTACTGTCCATCTGGTGTGTGGCTTGAGGGAAGCACTGGATTCTTTTCATTTCTTTGTTTATCCTTTTAGACAGGATCTCAGTATGTAGCCCAAGCTGGCTTCCAACTTGCAGTGATCCTCCTGCCTCAAGCTCCCAAGTGCTGAGATTGCAGGCGTGCACCACCATGCACTGGATTCTCACGCGTATTTCCTCCCCATTACACAGGTCGTCTATCCCAGGGGGAGTGTGCCTCAACTCAGCAGTATCGGAACCTTGAAAATGGGCCTGGAAAGCACCAGTATTCTTTTAGGATTTCATAATTACTTTTTCTGGTCTTGGTTGTTTAGCTAAAGTAAACGAAAGAATGAAAGTCCATATTTTTTTCTCTCTAGGGTCACCTTTCTGAAGGACTGGTCACTAAATGGTACAGATCTCCACGTCTCTTGCTGTCCCCTAATAACTACACGAAAGCCATTGACATGTGGGCTGCAGGCTGCATCTTTGCAGAAATGCTGACTGGGAAAACCCTCTTTGCAGGTTCGTGTCTTTTAGGAAAATGTTGCCCCAGAGGGAAAGAACTTTGCATTTGTTTGGGGAACAAGATTTATTTATTATTATTTTTTTAACTTTTTTTTTTTTTTTTTT